TCGTTTTACTAATTTAAATGATACATATAAATTTCATACAGATCGGATAATAACTTTTGTCGTTAGAGCACTACAAGGTACAACAAAGTGAAACAAGGGCCATAACTCACGGCGTAATTAACGGAAATTGCTGAAATTCAATAGGCTACTTCATTTCACTAATTTAAGTGATGCATATCAATTTCAAACAGATCGGATGATAACTGTTTTCATTAGAGCGTTCACAATATTCAACAAAGTGAAATACGGGCCATAACTCTAGATGTAATTAACGGAAATTGCTGAAATTCAATAGGCTTCTTTGTTTTACTAATTTAAATGATGCATATAAATGTTATACAGATCGGTTGATAATTTTTGTCGTTAGAGCGTTCACAAGGTGCAACAAAGTGAAACAAGGGCCATAACTCCAGAAGAAATTAACAGAAGTTATTGAAATTAAATAGGCTTCTTCATCTAACTAATGCAAACAACATATATCAATTTCAAAACAATCGGTTGATAAATGTAGTCTGTAGAAGTTCACAAGAAATTGTAGACAATGGACGGACCGACGGCAATAAAAACTGAATAGTCGTAAAAATAGTCCTGACATTATTACTCCAAGAAGACTGTAAATTTTATAATTATGACAGTACCACAAAACACAATTAGAACCAGATTAATTGACACAGAAAGTAATTGCACGAGCCGTTTGTCTACAAATATAAAAACTGCACGTTCCGTGACGGAAAATGACAACAGTATGTGTTAAATATGATGAAAGGCAGTGGTGCCTTGTCAGATAGTTTTAGCTATACAGCATTTATATATTTTTGGTGCCGTTGTAGAAGAACCCTAATTTCAAGCACTGGTCATGATCTAGGCCTACTAATTAATCATGCAATAAATAATTATTAAGTTCTCAATGGACTTTGTGTTGTGTATTTTCAACTACGTGTGAAGAGGGACCTAGTTATTCCTTCAATAAAAATCGTCTTCTATCCCGATATAAAATCCATACAAAAACAGTACATACGCAATCCACAGAAATGTTATACAAAAATGCAAATTTTTTTTGCGTAAAACAGCGGTAATACTATAACGGAAGACACTGGAAAACAACCTGAAAACTACTGGAAAACACCATGTTATACTGAATACCGGAAAACACCGGAAATACGCTAAATACCGGAAAACACCCTAAATAGGTAACCCAGAGCCTGGTCCTCTGTTTGCGGGGAGTTAGGGTTAGGTTTTTCCGGTGTTTTCCAGAGGACCAGCGGTGGATTAGGATTAGGGTTAGGTTTTTCCGGTGTTTTCCAGAGGACCAGGCTCCGAGTTAGCTATTTAGGATTTTTTCCGGTATTTAGTGTGCAGGGATGTGCCCAGAAAAATATTCATGCCGGGCGGTAATCTTCGGCAGAAAATCATCGGGTTTTTTTCGATCGAAAATGGGCCGTAGTATTTAGTGAAATTATCATAGAAAATAAATAAGAACTACGGACGGCATCTTTAGCTGTGGTAATTTATTTAAGAATATGACGACAGCAATTTGCCAATGTTGACACTGAAACCACCGTTGTATACCTGCGTAATCCACGGCATAATCGAAAATAGGAATTTATTAATTATTGTTTTGTTTTTTCCTGAGTTCTCGTGACTGTATTTTTCTATCGAAAACACAAGTCAGCATTCATTCAGTCATACCATGGAACGTACACGTATACGGTCCATTGTCGTACGCCTACTCAGATGGTTGGAAGTCAGGTAGCACTAGCAGCCAATTTTATAACAATTATGAATTTCACACTGACCATCTACGCATGTTTTCATCTGTTTGTCACTAGTTTATAGCATTATAAGGTATTTATATCTAAATAAACCAGCGGCTGCCAGGCAGGATACACCCACATTTTCGAGAGATGGATAGAGAACAAGCTAAAAATAAAGTGATTTTTCGTACAATCAGGGGCCATAATTCAGGAAGTTACAGTCCGATATGCGTGAATGTAGACAGGAACCAAGTTTCAACAAAATCGGATAAAAATTGTGACCTCTATTGGGTCCACAACCTTTATATATCATATTTCTACGCTATTTGAGAACGAGGGGCGACCATTTTGTCTGTCAGTTTTGGGCCGATTTTCACGAAATTCGAACTCAGTCGTCCTTCGGGTCTAACGGTGATATAATAATACGTTTTTTTAAATCGGATAAAAATAATGACCTCTATGGGCTTCACAAGCTAAAATCGCGATTTTTAGTACAATCAGGGCCCATAATTCAGCAAGCTACGTTCCGATATGCGTGAATATCGAAAGAAACCGAGATCTTTGGGTTATAAACTTACATTTCAAGTTTCATCAAAATAGGATTAAAATTGTGACCTCTATAGGGGTCCACAACCTTGATATACCATATTTTTATGCTATTTGAGAACGAAGGGCGGCCATTTTGTTGGTCAGTTTTGGGTCGATTTTCAAGAAATTCGAACTCAGCCGTCCTTAGGGTGTAACACTAACAGTGTTATAATAATACATTTTTTTAAATCGGATAAAAATTATGACCTCTATATGGTCCACAAGCTAAAAATGCAATTTTTCGTACAATCAGGGGCCATAATTCAGGAAGTTTCTATCTTTTGGAGATAAACCTATATTCCAAGTTCCGTCAAAATCGGTTAAAATGGTGACCTGTAGAGTGTCCACAAACAAATTGTAGACGGACGGGGCAGAGCCTCGTTTAACATGGTGACTAGGCGGCGGCGCCGCGCACTGGCCAAATTTCACCTTTGAAAAGAAAGATATTATTTAATATTATTATTAAACTGTGCCACCTACTGAGCCCAAAAGTTGAAGACTGGACGGCATCATACATACGTTTTGAAACGAAATTTAGGTAAGTCTGGGGCTGGAAAAAATTGGATTTGATGAAAGAATTCGATTGTAAATTACTGTAATTTGGCTAGGCAAAGCAATAAATGACTGAAGATTCTCAACTTTTCAAAGATTTCAATTTTTTTTCTCCGAGGCTTACCTAAATTTCGTTTCATCTTACATGGCTGAGTTCATAAATTTGTATGTTACCCTTTCAATGAAGTCCGCCAAGTCAGTTAGAAGACGGAGACGTATTTTTTAACAGCGTGTTGTGTCGCTCATACTGGTTCTAACGAGGTAAGCAAGGTCTTATATTCTCACTAAGGTGTTCATTTATATTGTTCAGGCGTTCATGGGGACTGACACACGACCGTTCAGCAGCAAAAAGTTGCCCAGTAAGATTTACTGGGGCGGATCTCAGTTTCGACAAGGATTCAATAAAAGAGTTTCTGAACGTACAGGGCTAGTGTAATGAGACCTATGTTCAGAGCTGAACTAGTGTCATTGTAGATAACAAACCTTAATCTCTCAACCCTCCGTGTTTCGAGATAAGACATGAGGCCATTACCTATAACGTTGCACCTGCGGGAGCGATTCACACCAGGCATTTTTAAACAAAATTGACAATAGTTTTAATCAAAACACCGATTGCTTATTGTTATTTATAATATTTCTACAACACCCAACTACAATTAAGCATATAATCCTACCTGAAACGGGTATAAATCATAGTTTTTAAAATCGAGGCGTTAAGCCGTTACTAAGACCGCCATCTTTTTAAACGATACGCTGTCATCATAAAGGTGGGGCTAAATATAAGGCTTTAATAACAGCCAATCAAAAGGACAATCGAAAGCACAGTTACTATGAATGGATTTCGATGGCGGTGAAATGTCAGACAAAAACAACGCTTCATTAATTTAAATGCGAATATTTGGAGTTAGGCGACAGTTATGCCACTACATTGGCCTCTGTAAGTTTAATTAATCATAATATCATAAACTTATCTATTTTAAAGATGTTACATGCATTAATAAAGAAATTGAGTTTGCCACTTGGAACTAAAGGCATCCAATCGTAGCTAAAAACAAACACATCAGTATATCTCAACGTTTTTAGCTACGTTCTCGTAGCTAGTGTCATTGTTGTTCAGACTCAGAGATGGATCACACAATAAGGTAGGACGGGCATTTCGAATTTATCGACTGACGCCTTTCAGCTCGTGGCTATTTGATGCACCAACAATTCAGTCGCAGTTAGCTTCAAATAAGTACAGCTTCAGGAATCTTGTGGTTACGTGTGAACGAAACCTCAAGACACTCTGGAGTACTAGCCCCCCCCCCCCTTGACAAAATCCGGGATCCGGGCCTGATTAGGGTTAGGCTTAACCCTAACCCTAAACTTTGACGATGGAGGGCTCTGAAAGCATCGTCGTAACAATAGCCTGAGGACTATTTTTACGACTCGTCGTAACAATTAAAGGAGCTAAATAGCTAATATTTGGGACCTACTAATTGATCCAAATGGGTCGCAACGCATATAATAATGTAATCTGATTGTATATAAACTGATTTACATTCAATTGTTTCCGTTTTGATTCTTAATTTCAAATCAGTTATGTCCAGCGAAATACGGCCTGTGTCTCAACCCTATAGCAATTTCTGGCGTCTGGTTATTCCAGTCTATTGAGCAGGTTCTCCAGTTGAATATGTCTAGCCTCGTTCTTTCTGGTCACTTGTTGCAAATGACGCTACAACGCCCTATGGGCCTATGGTACACGATTCGTGTACCAATGTAAAATGTTTATTTTGTTTTAAATATTGGATATCAGAAGCCTGTCTTTTCCTGGTAAGATCACAACATCAACGTTGATTTGAATTAACAAATAATTCGTATTTTCAACGTGTATGACTTTGGATGATATTGAGTTAGAGACTTAGCTACTTTAATAGCCAATGCAATGCCTTCTAAAAACACTGGTCAGGAAGAAGCTTCGGCTCTCCTGTCTTGTCTGCGATATCACTTCTGTGGAAGCAGACGTTAAAGCACCAGGTAGTAGTAGTAGTAGAGAATCGATATTGGAGGACCAGCTTTCACTCATTATTACCACACAAAACATACAAATCATGGTTCAAATCTCACCTCAATTTCATCTCGAATGTCTCTATAGTCAGCCATTTTACTCAGACACACTAACCGATAAAATAAAAATGTTTAAAGTACTATTCATGACTAATTTGTAATAAACAAAATTTAACATCCATCAGTTTCAAACTGTTATTGCGATACTATATGAGACAGTATTCTAATTTAGTGAAAAATTTATTTTCACAAAAATATGCAATTAAAAATATGGTTATCGCTTGGTTTTGTCTACAGACTGTCATTGGCAAGTGCTTTTTGCTGGAGGTGTTGCCGAATGCTGACGTCTATTAGTATTTAGTGAGTTTTTCTTTTTGCTCTTTTCTAAAATTTTATAAATCGTTTTTATGCGTCGATAGAAAGGTCTGTTGTCATTTATATTCAAATATCAGAGAGCTTTTCGTTTGTTTTGTGGAAGAAATCATATTCGAATAATCTGTCTGTCTGACATTTCTACAAAAGGCCCGTGGCCCGTAGCTCATGAAAGCTGTTCTCAGAAGAAAAAAAATAATAACAAGAATTGCAATTGAATTTTAACGTCAGAATAAATCATATTCATGAAGCAATGACCCGAGAAATCCCTCTCTAGCCATCGCTGTACTAAGAGCGAAATCTTGGGTTTTTGACCATCCAATCAAATCTTTCTTCAAGGGAATTTTCACAACTGACCAGCCGCCGGTGGTTAGAGGGTCAAAGCTTGGGCAATGTTCAAGGTTAAGAGGGCAAAGTCACGAACTTAAACCTGGTGTGACAGTGTAAGATGGTTCCTGGTGCGTGATTACTGTTTAGCGCATGCGCAGTAGGAGTCAGCTCACACCGCATTGACTCCCCGTGATAGGATTTCCCCTAAGATTTTCTTACGGTCAAATAGGTTTTTACACTATTATTTACCAATATTAAATATTAAATTTTGAGTCTGAATCTTTGCAGATATTGAGATTGATAAACTATTACAACACAATTGCTAGTAATTAGGCCCTACATTTAAATAAAATAGTAATTCAGAATCGTAGATTGAAGCAGGCTATATTTCAGCCGCTGGCTGTCAGATTTCACGCTAAAGTCACGTGACCTGAAACCCCTAATATGAGTAATAAAACAGATAGGCTACATTGTGAAGTTGTTAAAATTTTATTAAGAAGTACAAATTAAAATAACAATGATACAGAGAAATCCCAATCATATAAAGGACAATATTCAATGTACAAAATAGTTAATCGTATAACTACTGATCACTAAAACAACAGCTAATCACGATAACAAGTATATTTATTATTACAAAACTCTAATCAAATACGTAATACTTTTTCCTGAACTGATCAGTGATCAGGAACGAGAATAAATTAGTATATCATCAATATATGCTATTGCAAAATCTTCGAGTCCTTTAAGAACGTGTGCCATTAAATGCGAGAAAATACTTGGACAATTATTAATTCCAAATGACATTACATTAAATTCAAACAAACCTCTATGGCATACAAATGCTGTCTTTTCCTTATCTTTTTCATCTACCAAAACTTGCCAATACCCTGATTTCATATCCAGAGTAGTGAAGTATTCTGACTTATCTAATCTCCCTAACATGTCCTCAATCAATGGAAGGGGCCAACTAACAGTTTTAGTAATTTTATTAAGCTTCCGAAAGTCATCGCAAAATCTTTTTGTTCCATCTTTCTTGTCCACTAAGACAATAGGAAACGACCAAGGACTGTTACTCTCTTATATTATATTATTACGTAACATCTCGTCAATTGTCGTATGAACAATAGGTCTAGAAGTTAAGGGAGTACGATATGCCCGTTGTTTGATGAGGAAATGGTTACCCGTGTCAATAGTCATTTTTACAGTATCTGTATTTCCTAACTCATGATTTTTCTTCAAAAGATTAAATAACTTAACACGTTCCGTATCTGGCACATTAATCTTAGCAAATTTTTCATTTAAATTAGCATCAGTACACTGCAAGGTTCCCTGTAAAATCTGATCCACCGACGCTATCGTCTTGATGCTATCGCCTTGACAGTGCGACCAATAACACACACGCTTTTTAGTCGAAATGTTTTGTTCGTACCGTTAACAATAAAAACTAGGATTCTTTTGCCTAAACTTTTAGCACGTTTCATGCTGAACAATGAATTGTTGCTTGTTCAACCATGAATAAATCTCGCCCACTGTCATAACTATGTTTCTTCAATTTCACATAATGAATGACATACCTTGTCAGAGGTTTTAAAATTACCTCGTTTGCTACTCGCAAAACAGAAGATATTACTGCATCATTATCCAAGGAAACATACATTTTACCAATTTTCATAAATCAAAAAAGCCCACAGCCATGAGAAACAAGAAAATCTCGACCTAAAATTACGTTTCTGTTCCTATTGTTAACAACATGAAACACTTGTCTTAAATTTTTACCCTTAATTTGAAATTCCAAGTTTGCAGAACCTACCAATTTAAGTTCAATACCATATACTGACTGTAATATAATTTTACTTTTGTCCAGTTTTGGTTTATATTTTAAAGAATCATACACCTGCTAACTAATTAAAGACACTTGAGCCCCTGTGTCAACTAATGATCTAAAATTATGTTTTTCTATTTTAATCAAACACGAGCTAGAGCAGCCAGAAACATTTATACCAGATAAAGGCCTTTGATATCTACTCTTTCCGTCAGCCCCCTGGAAAGAGCATCTTAGTTTTCCCGTTTCCGTAGTGTTTTAGGCTTAACTGATGTATCTCATCGTTTAAATTTTGGATTTGATTTAAGATAGTCAGCAAATTTCCTACAGTCACGTTTAAAATGTCCTTCTATGCCACAAAACCCACAAGTTGTATTTCCCTGAAAACTCGCCTTAACCTCGTTTACCCCTCGCCTTTGTTGACATTCAAGACTTGCGTGACCATGATGAAAACACATTCCACACGTGCGGTTTCTTACATAATCGATATCCATAGGTTCATGTTCGCTATTTGTATATATTTGTTCATGTTGCCCTCCTAATCTTAAAGCGAATCTTTTGTTTTGATATATTCGTGCTGAAGTCCATCTACAAAGAAATTAATTAATTCTCTGTCAAATTCCGGCTGTCAGGTATAACCTGGAAATGCTTCAGCGGCAAATGATAACAAATTTTCTGCAAAAACTTGCACATTTTCTATGGGTTTCTGTTTGATTTTTGTTAATATTGCCAATGCCTGTTGTGTATCCGTAATTTCCGAAAAAGTACCAATTAGATCTTGTTTTAATGCATCCCATGTAACATTCGCGTCTGCTATCATTTTTCTTTGAATAAAATGACTTACAACCCCTCAACTTGATTGAAATGGCCAGAACACAATATTTTTCAATATTTTTAATCCATTCCTTAAATTCGGATTCCCTTCATATATATTCCATACCGAATTTGTGGAAATAGAGGAAGACAAGCCTATCAACTGGGCACCTAAATTTCTATAAAATTCCTCAGCCATTATTACAGATAGAAATTAGTGAAAATTGAAAAAAATATACTCACAAAAAAAATTGGCTAATTCTATCTGCTTCCGGATTCACGGCCCCAAATAAATACTGTAGTACTATAGGACTTCTTACTTGTTGTGCTTGTTTCTTGTTGATCGTAACAAGACTACAGCATAAAATAGTTTCACAACTTTATTGCTAAGCTATACAATGTAATGGCTTTGCAGGTTCCTCGTTCTCAATATAATGGCAGCTAGGAATTTCTTAATGAGTTCTCATCCAACTCGCTTCTACACCCTAATTTATACCCCCTAATTTCTGCAGGTTTTCGATAACCTTGACATTAAACCTCTTTATTCCCCACAACTAAGATAGGAGAAGTTACCTTATTTTGGTCTACCAACCATAGGTCAATAAACAGCCAGAATTTGATGGATATTTTGACTATGATTATGATTTAACCAAAATATCACTGTTTTTTTATGTTCATGTATAACTATATATTCACATTCATTAAGTACATGTGATTTAACTCTATAGACAGAGTAAAGTAACAATTTTGCAAAGAACCAAAATTGTCTCAAGGACCAAAGTGTTACACTATCTGCAAATGTTTTGTGTATCAATAACATGTTTTGTGATGACGATCTTGTCTTGTATGATGAAATTTGGGACTAGTAATTCAGAAAGATAGGCAGGGGCAAGGTTATTGAGACACTTACATGTATAAACCTTTACCAGTAGCTTAAATTGGCGTCAGATTTCAAATGGCAATATATGGAGTTCTTTCAGAGCAGCAGTAGAGCTATGGTTTGTAACTAACACCAAGAATTAGTTTTGCAGTAAAATTTTAAATTCGTTGGAGAGGTTGAAGAGTAGCTGCTGGCAGATCATAGAACAGACTATTTCCATAATCCATATGGGAGAAAACTAAAGAGCTGGCAATTTGAAGAGATAGTTCTCGCAAAAGAAAGGGTCTCAATTTCCGCATGTTGAACATTGTCGAAGCAGCAGAACTCGTCTTCTAGGCAATGTGATGTTTAAAGTTTAAGTTTTCGTCCAAATGCATCTTGAATTTAACAAGGGATGAAACTCAACTACAGAATCCACAACTCTTAGTTCATGGATGGTAGACTTGTGGAGCTGACGGCTGTTACCGAATATAATAACCTTGGTTTTGTCGTCGTTCATCTTTAGTTGATTGTGTAGCATCCAGATTTTAACGTCGTCTAAGGAATTTGATAGGCGGAAACTAGGAAGCAATACGAGATTTTGCATCAAGATCTTCGCCTTTAAAACTGTCATACAAGCTGTGATCATTGATGTAACCAACTAATTTTTATTGTGGCGGATGCAGGATGCTAGTAGTATAGCAGATAAAGTAGATCGGACCATTGATGCTACCTTGGGTTTTTCATGTGAATAATTGTTTAATTAATAATTAACATCTGCTTCCACCCAAGTGATATCTTGGAGAATAAAAGTAATAATTATTTAGAAAGCTATTTAGCTGATATTAATAATAATGGCATTTGTATACGTGTAGGTTATGTACAGAAAAAAAAGAAGATAAACAAACACAAAAATGCACATGCAGGTAAAAAAAAGAATCTTATTGTTTTGTCTGGTCGTTTAGTACGGTTGAATGACAAGGCTTAGTCTCTATCATTCAGACAAATATGTTGAAGACTAGGAGGTTCTGTGTGACCGAGACTAGGCAGGATGGTGCAACTCTTCCTTGGGGTTTTCAGTGTGTGGCCCGGTACAGTCTTCCTTCTGTTTGTCTGGTCATGTCAATTCTTTATTAGTGGTCGTGGCTTCATCTGGCATTT